GCATCTTTACCCCAGAAGAACTTCGCGTCCACAGACGTCTCCCAACTCTTTACATACTGCCTTCTGCATCTGCTCCAAATGCGTGCCCAGAAACACAAGAGCCCAATAGGCCGTGTGCCCCCACCAGGTTTGGGCAGAAAAACATTGATCGTGACCCACATGCGTTCACATTGCGGATTGCGCTCCCAACTGGAGATAATCTCCTGCAGTCTCCGCACAAACACCCCATCCAGAAAGGTAACCAACCTCATGTGAAAGTTGTCCCAGCCAAGCCCAGTAGAAATGCCAAAGGAGCGGCATGCCTTGACGATCTGGTCCTCCGATATCGGGTCAAGCTTCCACGGGTAACTCCAACCAGACGGCGCTGCCTCCTGGGCCCTATCGTCAGAGATCCACAGCTCTTCCCATTCCTCCAGCACCGCCGTGATCGCCGCAGCTCCCACCAGACCGTGGGGCTTGCCTTTTGCCAGCGTGGGCGCCTCCTCTAACATCTTGGGCCTGGAGATCGCGTGCGCTATCCTGCCCGAGCCTTGAGCAGCAAGTTCACCGAACTCCCTCCAAGCTTTACTCCTGGCCTGTGAGTCTTTGCGCCTGCGAACTTCCACCTCCTCCACAAGCACCGTCCGAAACCAGGCCGCCAATTGACCTCCTCTCTTGGCCAGAGCCACCCACTTCTGGACCTCCTTAGCCTGCAGGGAGGGGGACTCCGAGATGGCCTCAGGTAGCCTCAAAGCCAGCAACTGCCTTTCGCACCTCTCTGAGTGCTCTGGTCTGCCTGCCTTCGACCCAGGCGGAGCTGATGATGCAACACATAAGGCATCCCATAGCCTGAGGGCACTCAGCCAGGCTCTAGTGTCCGTCTCGTCGTGGCGCTCGAGGATAGATTTCGCACAATCCACCAGCCTCTTTTTCTTGAGTACCACGCCCTTCTCCCTGCCAAAGAAGAATCTCCTGTCTGCGATCGGAATCTCGAACAGCTGCACGAGGTACTTCTCCGCCGCTTTGAACCACATCGCTGCCGCATCCTCAACCGAGCTCACAGGGGCATCCAGATGCCACTCGTCAAGCACAGGTATTGTAGGCCGTCCCGTGGTCGGGGTGAGGACGGTCTCCATGGCGCCCCTGGCCTTCTTCCTGACCCTCCTCTTGGCCTCCTGGTCGGCCAGCGGAAAGGCTCGCGGGGGCGCCTCCACCCAGACAAAGGGCTCGTCACTGAAGCCCTCCAGCTTGATCTCCACGTAGCAGTGTGGCGAGATCGGCGTGTCCACCCTGGCCTTCACCGACATGGGGAAGGCGTCCAGAGCCTGGGAGCCAATGAAGTAGTCGTACTCTTTGCCATTGCAGGTTGGGCAGCCAGGTGCGAAGATGGTGGCGGCTACCAGGTCCAGCCAGCCCAGCTCCATGATCTCCTCAGGTTCAAGGTTCCAGTCGCCTCCCAGCAGGAACGGGAAACGCTGCGCCCCCAGGAAAGTGCTGAGGAACTCCAGTAGCTCCAGGTTCTCGCCCTTGGGGCCGATCGAGTCGACGCCATAGACCGAGCCGATGATGATCCACGAGTGAGCGCCTACCGTCATGAGCCTCATCACCACCCGATGCTGCCACCTCTCAGGCACCTGGAGCTTGGACACCCCAATGCTCATGGCCGCCGACAAGCCCACTCCAGCTGAGAGAGATCTGGCCGATTCTCCTGTGCGCTTTGCCGAACCCAGCGCCAGCTTCCGAGAGCAAGTACGGGTCCATTGATGGGCCCCTGCTTCCCCCGACTGGTCCAGTACGGTCTCCTGAATGCACAACACCTGCGGCAACTGGCAATGCATCTCAATCCAAGGCATAGTGTTCCGAGCCCTTGGCCACGTATTCGCATTCAGAGTGCCCACTCTGAACGTACCTTGGGCCCCGCGGTCCTCAGGAGGGAGCCCCTCCACCAGTGAGATGACCTGCTTCGGCTGCAGCGCTGCCATAGCTTCTCCTTGAGGTTGCTCAACACTGACTCCCTTGGCTCGAGACCCAGCACGTGGCGACTGAACCTGGGAGGGCGCAACAGCCGAAAATCGGTTGCCCCCAGGATTTGGCGTTCTAACACCCGAATCCCACGGGGAGGAGGAGGAGGAGGAGGAGGAGGAGGAGGAGGAGGAGGAGGAGGAGGAGGAGGAGGGGGAGGAGGGTGAGGAGGAGGATGAGGAGGAGGAGGAGGAGACACGAGGCCTACCAGCGGCCGCTCGGAAGCTCCCAGTCCTCCCTTCCCCCCTTTTATCTCCTCCTTGTCCTCCCTCCCCCTCCTCTCCTCGCCGCCTCCTCCGCATCTCTTCCTCTTCCTCTCCTCGCCTCCCGCCCCTCCTCCTCTCATCATCCTTCGTCTCCTCCTCCTATTCCGTTCGCGCTCTCATCACCGGCACCCTCCTTCGCCCCCGCTTCCCTGCCGGTCTCCTCCTCTCTCCCCATGCTGCTCCCCCGACTCTCAAATTCTTCTCCTCCGCTGCTCTTCAGCCTCTTCGCCCTCCTTTCACTCATACTACTTTAAAATTATCCTCATCCTCATCCTCATCCTCCCACTCCTCGTCCTCCAGTCCTACTCATCCGCCTTCCCTCATCCTCCTCTTCGTCCTCCTCCTCCTACTCCATCACCCTCCTCATAACCCCCTGATGCTACTTTCTCCCTGCTCCTCCTCCTCCTCCTCCTCCTCCTCCTCCTCCTAATATTCCTCGCCTGCATTCTACTCAGAATCTGTCTCGGATGTTAGAGGAGCTGCATTCGTGTAGACCATCGTGGGCGGGTCCAATCTTTTCAAGCTCCCAGCTGGCTTGGGGTAGGATCCAGATTTGTCACTGCGGTGAGGGGCTCTGGCTGACCCACTTTAACCATATGCTCATACACCCCATCATCCTCCGCCTCATCCTCCTCCTCCACCGTCTCCTGTTGATACGTCGTCTGCTCATCTGCCTCCTCCTCCTCCTCCTTCTGCGTCTCCTCTTCCATTCCGCTGAGCTGGTGTGTGGGTGGGTGGGTGGGCGGTGGGCGATGCGGGAGGGGTGGGTGGGTGGGTGGAGGGTGGGATACAGGACGAGGAGAAGGACGGTAAGGAGAAATGGGTGAATGATGACGGCAATGCTGCCGCATGCCTTCCCGTTTCAAGCCAACCCGCTCATTCGTCAACGCAACACAAACGTTCCCGCTCACTGGGCCAGTGATGTTACTTATCATTGGCAACCTCGGGGAGTTGAAACTGTGATGCTCCTCATGTAAGCAGACGATTAAGGAAAGAATATGGTGGGAAGGGTCAACAAAATAGTCTCCAAATCTTCGGCTTCCGCTTTGCTGCGGCTCCGTCTGGCTCGTCGACTGTCCAGGCGTGCGCCCGAGGAGGCCGGGAGGAAAATATTGAAAAATAATAACCTGGCCCAGGGCAATTGTTTCAATCATCATCCTGGGCGCCGCTGCGTGAACACTACTCCCAATAATTTCCTCATCATCCTCCTGCGATATGGCCTGGCCAGAGGGTTGGAGCTGGCGAAGGCTGAGAGAGTCCACACCCTCTGGAGGACATGCCACAACGGGAAATCTAAGTACCCTTCCGATTGAACTTGAACCATCTTTGATGCGTCGAACTGTTGGATCCGTCGAACTGCTGGGATGCCATCACGTCTCAAACGAGACATCGATTTGAACACGAGCCGCACTTCGTCCGTGTGACTCTTTTTGTTGTCTGGCATCCTGTCATCATATGATACGTGCCACATTTGGAACGCGGCACCCCAGTCAAGCGCTCTCGGAGCGGCGCGCACAAGCCGATCCGCGCACTGCGCAGCGGCATACCCATCTGGTAGCGCTACGCTGAGCAGAGCAATCCGCGCCCCTCCCCCCCCAAACTGGCTGCGACAGCCACCTCCCGCCGCGCGGGAGAGTCTGAAACAGAGCGACCTACGACAACGGCAGCTCGAACTCGGCCCCAGGACCTTTCCTGGGGCCCAAACGCGCGAGCTTTCTGAGTCGCATCTGGCCGCGGCGACGAGGGGCCCCCCCGAAGGCCAACTACGGTTGCCTCTCACCTCGCCCTCCTCCGCGACGAGGACGTCGAGAGCGGACAGGAAGGAGGGGCAACGATAGGGGGGTCTGGCATAGGAGGGGATGCATCGACCTGGAATCGGCGATACGTCGCCGATAGAGCGGCGATGGGCCCCCGATAGTGAATCCGCACCTTCCTGGGCAGGTTGAGGCTATCGGGCCCCTATCGGCGATCAATGGGCGATTGGGGGTCGATGCATCCCTCCCTATGCCTATCCCCCCCATCGTTGCCCCTGAAGGAACAGGGACGACGACGGGGACAGCGACGCCGGTGGCCGCGGCGATGTCTCAGCTCGCCATCCTCTAAGGGAAGCCCCACGCTCGGGCCACCTCCACGCAAAAAGGCGGCACAGGCCGCCCGCGAGCTCGGGGGCGCACCTCGCCCTGGCTCTCCCTCTCTCTCTCTCTCGCGCTCGCTCTCTCTCTCTCTCTCTATCGAGCGCGTTTCTTTATTTTCCGGCGGCGATAGTGGGCATTACAGGGAGGGGGGGGGAGGGGCCAGGAGGGGTATAACGTAACGCCTCCCCCCCCCCGCCGTGCGCACGGCGGCAGTGCCCGGAGGGCAGTGGGGGGAGAGGGGCGTTACGTCATAGCGGGGGGAGGGGGGGCCGGGGGCTATACTGCCCATAATGCCCCAAACAATAACAAAACACGCCCCTGTCTCGCGCGGATTGCCAGGGCAATGCCGGCGGCGCCGGCGGGGAGGAGGATGGGGGGGGGGGGAAGCAGGGTGTTTTGGTTGCCCGGGGCCCGTTCCGGGGCCCCGGGCACGGCGAGTCCTCCGCAGGGCGGGGAGGAGGAGGGGAAGGCCAGGCAGGCGGGGGGCAGGAGGTGGCGGGAGGGAAGGAGCTGGCCGGCGGGAGGCCCCCGCACAGACCCGCGCGGGAGCATATAGCATGACGTGGTGCGCCGCCGCCGCGTTCCGCGCGATCCCTCCTCACTTCAGGTGCCCGAACAGCTCGTGCGCGACGCAGTGGTCCTGGCACTGGCTCAGCTCCTCGAACTGCCCCTTGCAATCGCCTTTGCCGTCCGTGCGCATGGAGATGCGCTGGACGCAGGAATTGTACTCGGTGAGCCAGCTGCTGCACGCCGCGAGGCACTTGGGCTTCATCTCGTCACCAGGGTCCTTCGCCTCCTCCCCGGGCTTCAAGTGCGGCGCGTGGTACTTGGGGAAGTGCATGAAGAAGGTCGGGCTGTACGATCCAGACATCGCAGCTGGGAGACTTGAAGGTGGCAGGCGAGTACCTGAGAACTTGCGACTCCCGCGAGCAACTGTCTGGGTCTTGAATCGAAATGGCTGCATGCACCCATGCCAACTACTCTTCGAGCATTTTACGTGTTGTACCAAGGCTTGTACGGGGAAGTAAAGCGTGCGCTCGGCTTTGAACATGAAGTGCCGTCCATCATTTGTCGATCTTGCACATGCTCAATTATCAAGATCATTAGACGTGGAGACATCTCGAAACAAGAAAGAACATTTGAACACCAGTCAACCTGCATCCGCTTATCTGCTGCCAGCTTTCGCGCCCCTGTGCCATAAACTGCATACGCTGAAACCGACCCACCCACTAGTAGGGAAGGTGAAATGAAGAAGACGAAGAGGAGGATGACTGGGTCGGGAGGGAGGGGTAGTTGCAGAGAGGAGAAGAGAACGACGCGGCAGCCGCCGTGACCCCCGCCGCTGTCGCTGTTGTCGCCACTACACCCGTCGCTGCCACCACCGTCGTCGTGACGCCGCTGCCGTCGTCGTCGTGGTATTTGCAACGACGCCACCACCGCCGCCGACTCCTCCGCCACCGCCGCCGCCGCCGCCATCGCCGCCGACACCTCCACCACCGCCTCGGCCGCCGCCGCCGTCGTCGTCGTCGTCGCAGTCGCCGCCGCCGCCGCGGCCGCCGCCGCCGCCGCCCTCGTCGTCGTCGTCGTCGTCGTCGTCGTCGTCGTCGTCGTCGTCGTTGCAGCCGTCGTCGTCGTCGTCGTCGTCGTCGTCGTCGTCGTCGTCGTTGCAGCCGTCGTCGCCATCCCCCCGCCCGCCAAGCGTGCACGGATCCGTTGGTGGCGACCCGCTCCACCATGAGCCGCGAGACGCCGCCGTCCTGCGAGGGAGGGGGGGGGCGCGGAGGAAGGTCCGCGAGAGGGCTCCGCAAGGCAGCCACCGAAGGGGGCGTGCCGCACGCGTGCCTCCAGAGGGGCTGCAGGCCACCGGAGAGGAGGAGGGAGAGGAGAAGGAGGGAGAGGAGGAGGAGGAACAGGAGGAGGAGGGAGAGGAGGAGGAGGGAGAGGAGGGAGAGGGAGAGGAGAGAGAGGGAGAGGAGGAGGGAGAGGAGACTTCTTAGTCAGCGGTGTTGGTCAGCGGTCCCGCGCGGTGCACGCGCTCTCCGCGCGGGACCGTGCCCAACGCCGCCAGCCAACAGAAAGTCTCGGACCGTGCCGTCGCCGCTTACGGCTCGGGCGGCGAACCACCGACATGCTGGGACCCCAGAGAGGCCCCAAGCAAGCCCCCAAGAGGCCCCTGGGACACACCCAGAAGCCCCCCCTGCTGCCCCCATGAGCCGTCCAAGACGCCCCGTGAGAGGCACGCCAAGAGGCAGTCAGATGCATCCAAGAGCCTCCTGGTCCACAGCCCAGGCCCGGTGGCGGGCTGGCCCGAAGGCAACTCGATAAATTCCGCCATCCTCGCGAGTTTTGGGCGCCCGAGTTATCCGGGGTAACTCGGGTCAGGGGTAACTCGGGTTTGGATTCCCGAGACAGGAACCCGAGTTAGCCCTGACCCGAGTCACCCCTGATGCTTCGGGGCTCTGGACGCCCGAGTTATCCGGGGTAAGTCGGGTCCGGAGTAAGTCGGGTCCGGATTCCCGAAAAACGACCCCGAGTTAGTCCTGACCCGAGTTACCCCTGATGATTCGGGGCTCTGAGAAGTCTCACTCCTTGTGGGGGGTCGGCGGAATCGCGACGGCCACTCGCATGCACCTCGGCCCCCGGGGGCCCGACCATGCCCGCGCCCACCGCCTGCCGAGGCCCTCGGAGATCGATCCCCCGGGCGGTGACGGGCACAAGGGCAGAAGCCCGTGCACGTCAGGGGTGCTCCTTCGGGAGCGGCAAAGGAGGGGGGCGTCAAAGAGGGGGGGGGTGCAAATCATGACCGGCGGCATGTGCGCGGCCCAGCGGGGGGGCCAGGGACGTAATGAAACAAGAAGAGGCGCCATGAGATCTGGGGAAATATCATGGCCCGCGCCATGATATCCACCCCCCCCTAGTCCTCACCCCCCTCTTTTCCGCCCCCGACAGGCACAAGGGCAGAAGCCGTGCACGTCAGGGGTGCTCCTGCAGCATGGCGAAGCGGCGATGACCGGGTGAAGCCACGAGCGTGCTACGGTACCTTTAAATCAAGCCTGTCCACCTACAGGGGGATTTCCTACGAAAAATAGAAATCAAAAAATACTCAAAACATAGTCCCCGTACTATTCGTGGACTATGTGTTGATTATTATTGGAGTTTTTCTTTATTTGTCATCGAAAGATCCCCCTGTAGGGGGACAGGCCCGACCTAACAGTACCTCTCACTCGGGAGGCCCCTTGGGCGGTGGCCATGGACAAGCACCGCCTCGGACCTGCACGGGCAAAGGGGGGGGGGGCCGGGGAAGAGCAGCCGCACAGGAGCGGAAGGAGCACGGAAGGGGGGCCCGGGGCAACCGGGCGCCGCCAGGCGGTTCCGCGGCCTCGCCACGGAGGAGGAGGACTGCTCGGCCCCCTCGGGGGAGCCTCCCGAGGGCCAGGCGCGCTCGGAGCCTCCAGGGATGGTCTGCTTGACGTGCCGCCTCTCGAACTCCACAGCCTGCCGTGCAGTGCCGAGCCGGCAGTGAGCACAGCTGAATGCCTATCTGCGCGGACTCTGAGGGCGGTGGTGGCCACTGCACACTGCACTGGGGAAGCGAGTCTTGAGCAGAGAACGCGCACAGCAAACACGACGCGAGGACACCGCCGCCGCCGACGACGTCGTCGTCGACGAAGACGGCGACGGCGATGGCGACGGAGACGGCGACGGCGACGGCGACGACGACTACGACGACGACGACGACGACGACGACGACGAAGGGGATGAGGCGTTCGGACGATCCGCACCGAAGCGTCGACACAGGAGGGGCAGGAGACGATGAGAGGGCCAGGAGGATCAGAGGAGCAGCAAAGGTCAAACGGGGAGGAGGAGGAGGAGGAGGAGGAGGAGGAGGAGGAGGAGGAGGAGGAGGAGGAGGAGGAGGAGGAGGAGGAGGAGGGGGAGGAGGAGGAGGAGGAGGAGGAGGAGGAGGAGGGAGGGGGAAGGAGGAGGAGGCAGGAGGGGGGGGGGGGGAGGAGGAGGAGGAGGAGGAGGAGGAGGGGGAGGAGGAGGGGGAGGGGGACGGGAGGGGGAGGACGGGGCCCAAGTGTGAGGGTCCAGGAGGGGGCTCTCGGCAACCATGGCCGAGGCACTGCGCGCCCGGGGGCTGGGGGGGGGGGGGGGGACGCACTGAAGCGAGCAGAGGCGCCGCGAAATCTGGGGAGAGATCTGCTCCCATCGTGCTCGAGGACCACATCTAGGGGAACAAAAAGAGGCATAAACATAAAAACTCGGAGGTCCGCGCGGATTTCTCGGATCGCCGGCGCCGCCCCTGGCGCGCTCCGCGCGCCAGGGAGAGGGGTCCAGCGCTGATCCGAGAAATCCGCGCGGACCTCCGAGTTTTTATGTTTATGCCACTTTCTGATCCCCTAACATCCCAAGCATAATTTCGAGCACCCCGACGAGTATCGGGCAAATGTCTGCCCGACACGCTGGCGACGTGCCGAACGAGCATCGCCTCCCAGGGCCCGACACGCCCAAACCCTGCAATTTCTCGATACCTGTTTGGTGCTCGATCAGTATTTTCTTGGTGCTCACGGAGACGAAGCGGTCTTGAGCAGGGACCTGCCGTCCCGGCTGTTCCTATAAGCTGAGGTCGGGCCTGTCCCCCTACAGGGGGACTTTGGACGAAAAAAACATATTCAACAGATGCTTGAAAGCTGCCCCCCACTGCTCAAAAGATAATCGACCCCAGACTATTTGTTGTGCATTTTTGCGCTGTTTTTGAATGTTCCTCCTGTAGAGTCGGGAGCGGCCAAGAGGGGGGTGTCCAAGAGGGGGGGGGGTGCAAATCATGACCGGCGGCACGTGCGCGGCCCAGCGGGGGGGCCAGGGACGCAATGGAATAAGAAGAGGCGCCATGAGATCTGGGGAAATATCATGGCCCCCGCCATCATATCCCCCCCCCTATTTGGACGCCCGAGATGGGTACGGAAACAATGCGCACAATGCCCAACAGCAAATGTTGTCCCGAACCAACCGCGGCCGCTGTTGGGCGGGCGGCCTTCTGTCTCGAATGGACACAGGCCGCGGCGGCGCGGACAGCGAGTCCTGTTCAAAAGGAACAGAAACTGCTGTTGGGCATCGTACCCATTCGTTCCGTGCCCATGTCGGGCGTGCAGACCCTAGTCATTTCCCCCCTCTTTTCCGCCCCCGACCCTTAGTGTCTCCTCCCCTTTTTTTGGCTGGCCGCCGGGAGGGAGGAGGGAGGAGGGAGGAGGGAGGAGGGAGGAGGGAGGAGGGAGGAGGGAGGAGGAGGAGGATGAGGAGGAGGGGAGGAGGAGGAGGAGGAGGAGGAGGAGGAGGCGGAGGCGGAGGCGGAGGAACAGGCCCGACGTAAGCCATGCGAGCGGAGAGCGCCGTCGCCCCGCCCCGCGGGGCCGGGCGCGGGAACGGCTCGGGCCGCGGCCGCCCGAGGGCGCCGCGGCGTCGGGCTGCGTGCCGCGCCGGTGGCGCGGTGGGCCGTCACGGGGGCGGAGCGGCGCGCTGCCCTCGCAGTGCTGGGCCGTACAGGGAGTTGTTTTTTGTTTGTTTTTCTTTTTTAAAAAACATGTTTTATGTTTAATAAAAAATGTTTAATAATCGGATTTTGGATTTTGGACATATAGGATTTGTAATACATGATGAATGCATGAATGCATTGCTGCATGAACTCATCGTTGCTTTTAATACTACATCCCTGCATTTTTAATACACGATCCGCACGCGGAGCATGTTTTAGAAACGGCACTGTACTCCCTCCCTGAGCGTCCCGTGGGCCACAGCGCACGCCACTGGCACTCGCCATCGCTCGGGCGTCCACTCCCTGTGCAGTTGTTTCGGTGTCGTGCGTGCGCGCGTTGTCGCAGGCTGAGCATAACGTGCTCCTCGATGGTCCTCGCCGAGAGAAAAGGCACACGTCCGAGCGATGCCACTTGTGACTACCTACCAGACCACCCCAACCCAACCCGAAGATCCGAATTTGACCCGAATTTCGAGTTGGGGGGGGTACGGGTTTCATGTGTTTTCTCGATGTTTCCCGACCCCACCCCACTGGAAATCGAGGGCAAATTTGGGCCTTCGGGTTGGGTTGGGGTGGTTTGGTGGCTGGTGAACTTGCACGTCTGGACACCGTGCGCGGATCCAGGAGCCGCGCGGGGGCCTGGCAGGACCACGCTGGCTCCTGCCGGAGACTGGCCTCGGCCACGGAGGCCTCCGGGCCCCTGAGCAGTGCGCGTCGGAGCCGCGAGGTGCTCAGCTGCCCTTCCTCTCTGAGGGCGGACGAGCGCACGCGCCTGTAAGGTGCCTGGAATCACTGGTAGTCGTGCTCCGGAAGGCACTCCGAACATGGAGCGATAACTTCGGCCACGGGTGCAACATCCGATTTTCATGTGGAGCACTTCCAGCCAGCGTCACCGCCCCGCCGGCCAGAATCACACCCCTCACACATTCGTCCTGCGCAGGCTGCTGCGCAGACATGCATGCCCCCCCCCCCCCGAGTCTCGAAGATCTTAGAAGACGGTGAATTGTCGCCACATGCCGCGCAAATCCATGCGGACACAGCCCGCGCCAACCAGCGTGAGCTACCGCAGAAAGCACGACGGAATCTCCCTGGGCCCCACGCCATGCGCCCCGTCTCGGCCCGCACGGGAGCGGCCTGGAGGCATCGAGGAGGGGCTGCGAGGCCCGCTGTCTGGCCAGGGGAAAGAGCGGTGGCGTCCCGAGGGCGCGCGTCGGGCGACCTGCCGCCTGCCAGCGCGCGCATCACCGCTGAGCAGCGCCCCCAGCCAACTCGACAGCGAACCCATTGCAGAGGAGGGCGGAGGAGGAGGAGGAGGAGGAGGAGGAGGAGGAGGAGGAGGGCGGAGGAGGAGGAGGAGGAGGAGGAGGGCGGAGGAGGAGGAGGCGGAGGGTGAATGAGGCGGGAGGGAGGAGGAGAGGAGGAGGAGGAGGAGGAGGAGGAGGAGGAGGAGGAGGAGGAGAGGATGATGATGATGATGATGCTGATGATGATGATGATGATGATGATGATGAGGAGGAGGAGGAGGAGGAGGAGGAGGAGGAGGAGGAGGAGGAGGCGGAGGGTGGAGGAGGAGGAGGAGGCGGAGGAGGAGGAGAAAGAGGAGGAGGCCGAAGGCCTTGAGCCAATCGGAACCGAGAAGAACTATAGGGGCCTGGGCTCCCCGTGTCACGGCGCCGGCACGGGGTGACGTCCTCTGTCTCCCTGCCGTCGGGCACAGGCGAGCAGCACATCCCTCGAGAGCGCGAAGCCCTCCGCCAGCCCAGAGGAGGAGCATCCCAAAGGGCACCCTCCCCGAGGATGCACAAAAACATACCAACAGCACACGAGGCACATCCGGGCACCCTGCCAGGAACGACCTCGGCCGTGTGTGCCTCGCTCCGGCTGTATCCTGCAGGGCCCAAGCGCACTCGAAGCCGCAAGTCCGAGTCCGGTCTCTCTACACTTAAGTCGGGCCTGTCCCCCTACAGTGGGATTTTAGACGAAACATAAAGAATACCCCAAAATGCTATAAAATTCCCCAAAAAACTGCTCACAAACAAAATCCCCGGACTATTCTTTGACTATTTTTGAAGAGTCCTCCTGTAGAGGGACAGGCCCGACTTAACTCTACACGACAAGTGCCTGCGTGGCTGCCAGTCTGCTGCGCAGGGCACTGCCGTCGGGGACAGGAGCGCACAGCCCCGGGGCTCGACGCGGGGCAAGCTCGGAGGCACGGCCTCGGCCCGTGGCACCGTCCGCCGTCCCCCTTCATCACCCCCCTCTCTCCTTTCTGCCTGCTCACTGCTCCCCCTCCCTCCCCCCCTGCCCCCTCCTGCCTCCTGCCCCCTCCTGCTCCTCCTCCTGCTGCTCCTCCTCCTCCTCCTCCTCCTCCTCCTCCTCCTTACCCCCCTACCTACTCCTTCATGTGCCCTCCCCATCCCCTCCTCTCCTCCGCCATCGAGCTTCGAGCTGATGGCTCGAGTATCCGTCGGATGCTGCTCCTCCGCCTCCTGATCCTCCTCCTGATCCTCCTCCTCCTCCTCCTCTCACTCCTCCTCCTCCTCCTCCTCCTCCTCCTCCTCACCGCTCCCCTATTGCTCCCCCGCCTCTCTGCTCCCTCCCTTCTCCTCCCTCCTCCCTGATCGCTCTTTTCATCTCCTCCTCTCCTCCCTCACTGCCCCTCCCCTACTCACCCCCCTGCTTCCATCATCCGCCCCCATCCCCCCCCATACCGTCCTAACTCGCCCCCTCCTCCCCGATCCTCCCCCTCCCCCTCCCCCCCTGCCTCCCCACCTCCGCCTCCCCCTCCCCACCCCCCACCCACCATCCCCCCTCTGCACCGTCCTGTCCCTCCTCACCTCCTCCATCCCCCCTCCTCCCTCCCTCCCCCTCCTCGCCTTCCGACTCCCCTCCCTCCCTCCCTAAAAGCACCTGTCTGCCCCGGACAGCTACACCCCCCGCAGCACCCAGCACCCCCTCCGTGCTGCCCTATCTGGCAGCGCGCACAATGGGTGGAGGGAGGGGGGAGGGCCTCTTAGGAGCTGCTTCTTAGAAGGCGGCGGCCTTACATCTATAGATAAGACCCGCGCCTTCTAAGAAGCAGGGGTGCTTCTAAGAAGCCCTCCCCCCTCCCCCCACCCCCCTCTGCGCGTGGCTGACTAAGCCCGAAGATGGTTCGGGCGCATTCTGAGCCCACAGCGAGCTCCAGAATCCCCACGCCGACACCGACGCCGACGCCGAGGGTTCTCAAACATGAAAGGAGCAGGTCCTGAGGGAAACGGGTCCTGTGCCCTGGGGCCTTCCCCCAAGGCTCAGTGTAACGTCCTGGGCCGCTTTCCGACGGTCCCGGGGCCCGTGGAGGGACCCCAGAGCCCGAGAGCAGCAACCGACAAAAACAGGACCCGTGATCCGCAGGACCCGCTTGCTGCATGGCGAACTGTCGGGCCGCCCCCGTCCACGACGGGCATCACGTTTATGCCCAGGGGCACGCCCGGCGTCCGCTCCACCTGCGCGGCGGCGCGGCGGCGACGGCGCCTGCCGTGTGGACACGCGCGGCGAGACGTGCTGCTGCAAGAGATCTCGGGGCACATTCTTCGGCGACCGGTGCCCCAGGGCTTCCGGGGGTCCCCGAGGCACCCAGGACCTGCCACACATCCGCGGGGCACCTGCGGGGACACCGACTGCTCATTTCGTGTGCCTGGTGTACCGACGACGCCGCCGAGGCCGCGAAACCGACGCCGCGCCGCAGACGCCGCCGCCGCCGTTTGCGAGGGCTTCCCGCTTTGACACCGAGCTGCATTGCATCCGTCTGGCTCGCAATCACGAGCGCGACACACTGCGACCACACAATTCAAGCAAGATTCGAACGAAAACCCCCTTTTCGAAGACAAAACGCCCCCCCCAATCCGTGCAACTGCTGCATGCATTCACAGGTAAGTGTGACGGAATTCAATCATGTCTCGAGCGAGAACTCGATTTTGAGAAGGAGCCCCCACGTATCCGTGCAGTGAAACATGTGTTGAAACTTCGGGTCTTTAATCAGGTCGGTAAACAGCCGTTCTACATCCTTCTGCCTGTTGCAAAATGTCAGAAGACATGCGTGCGGCGCTCGGGCCACCATCTGGCAAGGAGCCGTCCTCCATCCGTGAGGCTGGTTCGACCATCTACAGAGAACGTGCGCGGCACGACAGCGAGGGCCCCGCTTGCAAAAGGAGCCGCAACTCATCCTTGAAACTCGTGCAAGTGTGGAACAAGTATGTGCGCGGCGCCAAAGCGAAAGCCACATTTTAAAAACGACCGCCCTCCATCCCTGAACCTGTTGCAAACCTCTGAAAATTGAGCAGGGACCGACCGTCTGGGCATTCCTATAGTCCTACCACGAAATGTTCTTAGATCCCCCAAGAATTGTTCCAATAACCAAAACAATTTTCTTAAAACTTAAGCCTCATGTGTTAAAACAAGACAGACTCCGCCAGAAATGTTCTAAGATCAGTTCGTGGGAACCACAAGAGGTTCTCAGAACATAGTTTGGCAGGGCTATAGGCGAGCCAGGACGCTTCGCCACTGCTTGATGGAGTGGAAGCCCCCTGCTGACCCCCCCCCAGCTCAATCCTCGAAGCTGCTGCCAAAGCTTGCGACGAGCGCGCGCGGCGCTCCGGCGAGAGCTACACGCACGTGCACACGCGCCCGCCGACCATCCTCGAGGCCGCTGCGGACTGCCGGATCCGCGGCCGTGAACCTGCGACGGAGTCTCCAGCGGAGCGCCCCTGCCCACCCTGCCGACACGACTGGGGGGTGCGGCACGGGCCACTCGCTGGACGACAAAAAAAAGAGAGTGAGGAGGAGGAAGGTAGGGGGGGGGGCATGGTCGGGCGGGGCTCGAGGGTGGTAAATGGGGAGGGAGGGACAAGAGGGGGCAGTGCCCAGGCTCAGAGCTGCTACTCGAGGCTCTCGGATAGGGGGCCCCCTATCGGAGAAATCCGGCATCTCCTCCCCGCTCTCTCCCGCGCGGTTCCCGCAGCCCCCCGTGGGCGGTTGGGCGTCTCGCCCGTCCTCTCCTCTCGGGGGGCGGGTGCTTGCGTCTCTCTGCCTGCTGCTTCTCCCTCCTCCCCGCTCTTGCCATCCAACGTGCTGTACCTGTTTCCATATTTACATATGGTACGTGTACTCCAGATTTCGTAATAAAGGGAGGGGGGTCTCATTTCGGGGGGGGGTCTCTTTCAGGCTATCTTGGAGGGCCTGGGGGGGTCTGGGGACGATGTTTTGGAGGGTTCTCCCACGGGGGGGGGGTCTGAAATGGCTCGTCTTGGAGGGTCCAGACCCCCTCCCTTTTATTACCAGAGCTGGAGTACATATGGTACGTGTAGTTGCTGAATTGAAATCACAGTCTCTCTCTCTCTGGAGACCCGTGGCGCCACATAGCAGGTCGCGTGCGGTGCCCGAGTGGAGGCGCGGGGCTGCCCTCGGCCCGTCGCGGCGTCCCGCTTGTCGGACCCTGCCGTGGGGCCGCCAATGCTCCGCGCCGGCGATGCGGCCGCGGCACGGTCGATGGCTTCTCTGAAGGGACCCCAGGACACACAAATAAATACACACAAACAAAACAAATCACCATATTTTCCTATATTTTCTGGGTTTCTGTCTTCCCAACCACTTCCGATAGTTTCCCATATTTTCTGGGGAATCGAGGATTAATTGTGTCTGTGTGTTTCTTTTCCTCCTGATTCTCTGCTCGCTCCGCTTCGGACACAGCGCGCCACGGAGTTAGTTAGAGGCAAGAGAACTATGCACATGCACCGATTCTGGCCAGGCCCAACCCTGAGCCCAGGATCGGTGCATACGCCCTCCTACCTTGGCCAGGAGGGTATATGCACCGATCCTGGGTCAAGGACGGGCCTTGCCAGGATCGGTGCATGTGTATAGTTCTCTTCGCCCGATTAGTGAGTGAGTGAAAAGAAGGGGAAGGGGGAGGGCGAGGAGGAGAACCTGGAGGAGGGCGCGAGGAGAAGGGCGCGAGGGCGAGGCGGAAAGAGCGAAAGGAGAGTAAGGATGAGAAGAAGGTGGAGCAGTGGGAGGTTGAGAAGTGAGTGGTTGGGGACTGAGAGAGGCGGGGGGCGCGAGGAGGAGGAGGAGGAGGAGGAGGAGGAGGAGGAGGAGGAGGTATGATAACATCGAATGAGCAGGAGGAGGAGAGGAACAAAATGGGAAGCGCGTAGAGGAGGAGCAGGTGGAAGAGGGTGAGGGGGTCTGAGACGGACGGTGGTGATGGTGGTGACTATGAGAGCGAGGATCAGAACAATGAGGCGAACAAAAAGTTCCTCCTCCTCCTTCTACCTCTCCATGTCCTCCTGCTCCTCAACTCTCAACTCCCTCCTCGCCATATCATCCCACTCCTTCTCCAGGGGGTGGGGTGCCCTCCTTCTCCTCACCCCCTTTCCTCCTTTTCCTCTTCCTCCGCTCCGCATCCCTCCCCCTCCTTCCCTCCCCTCCCCTCCCCTCTTCTCGTCCTCTCCTCCCCCCCCTCGTCCACCAACTCCCTTTCTCCCCACATCCCCCATATCCGCTCCCCTTTTTCCGTTGCCTGTTCCTCCTCCTCCTCCTCTTCCTCCTCCTCCCCGTCATCATCCTCCACTTCTGCACTTTTTGTAACCATTCTTTCCCCTCCCCCTGCCCCTCTCCCCCTTCCATTACCCCTCCCCTCCTCATCCCCCTCCAATCCTCTGCCTTATTCGTAACTCCTCCCTGTCGCACCCCGCGGCCGGTCGAAAGAGCAGGCCGGACGTTCCGACTGAGATGCCTTCATTTTCGCCATTCATGATCCTGGAGCTTCGAATCGGTAGCCTGTTCTCAGATGGAAGGCGCGCGGTTTTCAACATGCGGCTGCCGCCTTCGCGCCGCGCGTATCTATTTTTCAAAATTAATCAAAGTTTCGCGGATTGAGGCCGGGTGGTTTTCAAAATGTTGCTCTCGCCTTGGCGCCGCGCGCATCCGTTTTTTTTTAATCAACCAGAACTTCACGGATGGCGAGCGGCTCCTTTTCAAACTGCGGTTCTCGCCTTAACGCCGCGCATTTTTATCTTTAAATGTTGCAGCTGTTCCACGAATGGGGGGCGGGTGGTTTTCTAAATGTGTTTCTCGCCTTCGCGCCGCGCACATCGTTCTTAAGAGCTCGCAGCAGTTTCAAACATTCGTGTGGTCGACGTCCCCAAAACGGTGTTTGGGCACGACATCGGAATGTCAGGGCGCAACAGTCACGTGTATTCGCGGTGTTGGAGTCCTTGGAATGGTGTTCTGGCACGGTTCTGGATCGACGAGACTCAGCGTGAACTTTGATTCACGGCGTCGCAATCCCAGAAATGGCGTTTTGACGCATTGCTGGAATTTCAAACGGTTGTCTTCCAACGGGACATTTCCCCGAGTGAGAATGGACACTTGCAGGGTCCTGTGGAGGGGGATCTGGGATGGAGGGTCTACTGCACTACCGTCGATGAGTTTGGGATTTGCACTGGGCTTCCTCCTCCTCTTCGACCTCCTCCTCCCCTCCTCCTCCTCCTCCTCCTCCTCCTCCTCCTCCTCCTCCGGCGACGACGACGACGACGACGACGACGACGGCGACGACGACGACGACGACGACGACGACGACTGGCCCCTCCCCTCGCACGCGCGGCCTCGACCTCGAAACGCAGCCTGTTGCCGGGCACCTCCACGATGCCCAGGCCGCCGGGGAGGGGCGGCCCCTGGCCGGCGGGCCAATCGGCGGGGTGGGCGGGGGGGGGGCGCGAAGAACAGGAGGGGGAGAAGGAAGGGGGGGCGGTGAGTGAGGCAGGAGGGAGTGAGGAGAGGAGGAGGAGAGGAGGAGGATGAGGAGAGACGAGGAGGAGGAGGAGGAGGAGGCGGAGGAGGAGGGAGAAAGAAAGTGAGGAGGAGGAGGAGGAAAGAGGAGAAGAGGAGGAGGGAGGGAGGGGAGGAGGCAAGCTAGGTGCGCTCGCGTCATATCTGACGTCCTAACCCTCCCTCCCATCCCTTACCATGGCGGTGATTTTCTCTATCCGCGGACGCGTGTCGTAGCGGACCTGTGGCTCCGCGCGCGCGTGCGTAGTGGGTGGTGGTGCACGTGCGTGCGTGCGTGCGTGTGTGCGTGGTTGTCGTGTGGTGGTGGTGGTGGTAGTGGTGGTGGTGGTGGTGGTGGTGGTGGTGGTGGTGGTGGTGTGTGCGTGGTGGTGGTGGTGGTGGTGGTGGTGGTGGTGGTGGTGGTGGTGGTGGTGGTGGTGGTGGTGGTGGTGGTGGTGGTGGTGGTGGTGGTGGTGGTGGTGGTGGTGATGGTGGTGGTGGTGGTGGTGGTGGTGGTACTGGTGCTGGCGCTGGTGGTGGTTGTGGTGGTGGTGGTGGTGGTGGTGGTGGTGGTGGCGGTGCGGCGCGGTGGTGGCGGGCGGATGGGCGCGCGAGAAAAAAGCCCGCGCTGGGGCGAGAACGCCATCCTCAACGTCGGAGGCCAAACACCGATCCGAAAATGAGGCCCACGCTCAGCGGGAACACGAGTCGTAACGAGCGTGGGCGCCCATTATCCGGGTACTCGGTCGGTAAATCGGGTTTGGATTCCCGAAGAAGAACCCGATTATCCCTATTTCGGGGCTCTGGACGCCCCGAGTTATTCCGGGGTTAACTCGGTTTTGGATTCCGGCCCGAAAAACGAACCCGAGTTATCCACCCGAGTTACCCCGGATGATACGCTCAGACGATTCGGTCGGATGCAGCCTGTTCGACCACATGGCGCGAGAGCAGCATTTTGGGCAAAAAATGACGCCGGCGCCTAAGCGAGAGTCGTTTCCCAGGATTTCCCGGGCATCCTGTGTGCGAAGAAACAGTACGCGGAGGGTGCGCGGGCATCACCCGGGCGCCATCAGGAGGAGATATAAGTATAATTCATATATTGAGTAATGTGTGGAGGAAGGAGGTAGGAGGAGGAGAGGAATAGGAGGAGGAGGAGCCAGGAGGAGGAGAGAGAGAGGAGAGAGGGGAGGGGGAGGGAGGAGGGGGAGGGGAGGGGAGGGGAATGGGGAGGAAATGCAAGAGGAAAAGAAGAAGAAGAAACAGGATGCGAATAAGATAAGAGCACTATTGACGCCAAATGCCTGTGCTTTCGCAGGCCATGGCATCGGTGAGGCACGAACTTGTGCCAGCGGAAGACGTCCGACAGGCACCCTGCGCTGGGAAACCAGCGACTGGCCTGCGAGCGCCACGGCTCATGGATGGTCAACACGTGTGCTCGGTAGCACAAACCGCCAGCCTCATTGCAATCGCCCCCGCCCCCGCCCACTCCCAGCCGTACCCCGCCCCCGCCCCTTTCCTTTGCTGACGGCTTGCGGACTTAAACGGCCTTCTTACCGGCTTCAAGAAGTCAGTGCGGAACCAGGAGTGACACTCTCGTTCAAAAGCACACCGGCCATTCTCACAGAGAACGCCTCGAGCCGAGCTGCCAGCCTCCTCACCTCAGACCCAGCGCTGCCGAAGTCTCGCCTCACGGGCCTCAAGTTTTTTGAAGCTCGTCCAGCAGCTTCGACGCCTCCCGCTCCAAAGGCCCCCGGGGTGGCGGCCCTACCTTCAGGATGCCCTGGTCCTTTTTTCAGCGCCTCCACTACCGACTCCTGCAACTCTGTCCACTAGGCGCTGAAACTGATCGTGATGCGCGCCACCTCTGCCTGGCTCTCCTTCTCGCGGGTATCCTGGATTTGTCAATGGCGGATCTGCTCGACCAAGTCCTGGAGGTCCCGCTGGAGGACCTGCTCCTTTCAAACATTCTCGATGATTCCGCGACCCTTCTCGGACAATCCTGCAACTCTGTGGGCCGCCTTGAACGCGGCCTTGAATGCGTGTAAAAAGGTGGGCCCAATATGTCGCGGCCGCCGGAACTGCTTTCAACGTCCCCATCCTCGCCGCGCTTGGCCCGCGCGCGGAAGTCGCGGCCCGCCTCCTTCCTCGCCTTCGCGATCGACGCGGCGGCGGGAATGAGGGGCGCGAGGTGCGCGGCCGCGATGAGATCTCTGAGCGGCCTGCGCCAGCGCCAGCGCCGCCAGCGCCTGCGTCGCC